TAATGCAAGGAATCTGTCCCTAACACAGCGGGGAGCCATTTTCTACAGCCGGTGGCCATTTTGAAACCCGACAATCAGCTGTTTGCTGATCATTGTAAAGTGGAGAATCGGTTCCTGAAGCAGGGAACTGATCAAAGTTAAGCAAAATTTCCCCCATCTAAACATCGTTTTGTGATTGCAAAAGCGCTCGCAAAAACTTCAACGTTAAGTGGATTCATCGTCAAGCAGGGTAATCGTCCAGTGGGGCACCACTGTATTACTTCACTAGTGGAAGCAGCAGAAAGAGAACAAGACAAACAGAGGAAACCACAGGCTTTATTGTACAAGACCTGAGCAGGGCTGTTAGTGACAGGATGGTTTTGGAGGTCATAAGGATACCAAGAGTTGGAAGCAGCTTGGTAGCATTCCACTACAACACAGATAAACAGTAGGTTCTAGACCGTTCTTTCAGCGTTGGTCCTTAATGGCACATTTGCCATTGACTCCTTTTCTTTTAAAACTGCCCTCATCCACATAGCACTTTTAAAGAAAACAGATAACCAATCCCATAATGCATGTGTTAAACTAGGAATGACCCACTATCAATCAAACCCATGCTACAAAGAATGCTCTGTTTAGGGGAGAATTTATGCAAATCAGACCAGCTGCCTTTTCCAGTTGGAGTCAGAAGCTCCTTTTGCTCCATATCACTGGAAATGCCAGAATTGTTCACAGTTCAGAAAATATTTTGAAATCAAATTATTGTGGGGCACTAGAAGCAGAACTTTTCATCTGTGGTGACTGTTCCCTGGAGGAAGTCCATGTGCTAGGAAATGGGTTGCTATGACCTGGAGTGTGGCCTGTACGACAGGAAGCCGAAAATTTTTGCATTGCTTATCCTAGGTTTTCTGATGACTGCTATGGAAACTTAAGTAAAATATCTAACAAATTTTTAACTGTATATAAAGTAGTGGCTTGAAGCATAGTTAGTTACCAAATGGCTTGAGGACTGTCTATATCATTTGGAAGTCAATAGTTTTACAGGAACTCGACATTAAAATCATGCTTTGCTACTAAAACCATTTCTAATTAAAGGCAGGTGTGACAATAAATAATAATAGTCATTGATATTACTTTACATACTATGCAGTATTATATTTATTCATGGCATTTGGGGTCAGGATGGAAGGAAGAAGGAAGGAAGGAAGGAAGGAAGGAAGGAAGGAAGGAAGGAAGGAAGGAAGACTCAAGTGAACAATAATAAATTAAATCCTTAAAAAAACTCCTTTGGTTTATGAACATGGGATACTGCTTCTATGTCTATGACTCAAAATGCCAGAAACTGACAATATGTCTTGCAATATTGGGTCCACGTTGTCAGCAGGGAAAGGATGCAAAACTTTACGTAGCAAAGGGCAGCCTGTATGTTGTCAACACCAGTATCAGCAGCCAAGATGGTCTATACCAGTGGTTCTTAACCTTGGGTTACTCAGGTGTTTTTGGACTGCAACTCCCTTCTTGCACTCATTGCCATTCACAAACAGATACTGAACAAGGAACAATGCCAGAACCTAGCTCTTTTCTTTTTTTCCGTTTTCATCAGTTAACTACATCTTATCCAAACTCAGCCATGACATTTGCTTTGTGACTACGAACTGTCTACACTAAGTCTGCCAAATAAGGTTCTGATTCATCGACTCATTCAATAATGATAACTTTCTGTTTGGAGGGCCTCCTTCTATCACTGATGGCTTTACAGAATGCCATTTTGACCAGTCACGTAATATCAAAGGTGGGCTTTGGTGCGCCTTTAATAAAAGCAGTGCTTAAGGTAAAGGTAAAGGTTCCCCTTGACAATTCTTGTCCAGTCGTGTTCGACTCTAGGGGGCGGTGCTCATCCCCGTTTCCAAGCCATAGAGCCAGCGTTTTTGTCCGAAGACAATCTTCCGTGGTCACATGGCCAGTGCGACTTAGACACGGAACGCTGTTACCTTCCCACCGAAGTGGTCCCTATTTATCTACTTGCATTTTTACATGCTTTCGAACCGCTAGGTTGGCGGGAGCTGGGACAAGCGACGGGAGCTCACTCCGTCGCGTGGATTCGATCTTACGACTGCTTGGTCTTCTGACCCTGCAGCACAGGCTTCTGCGGTTTAGCCCGCAGTGCCACCACGTCCCCGCAGTGCAGAACAGCACAAAAACATAGCAACAGGGGCAAAAAAACAAAAACAAACAAAATGAAAATGCAATGTCCCAGAAAGCAAGAGTGAACAGAAAGATATCTACCTGATATGAAAAAGACAGTACTTGGCACCAGCCAAACCTTCCCAGGAAAGTTATACCGAACCTGAGGTGCTACGTCAGAAAAGACTGGCCAGGGATCACCACCTGCCTTGCCCCTGAAGACATGGACACACAGAAGGACTTCTAAGCAATAGCTTCATAAGAGGGTTGTTTAATGTTTCCAAAGTCATGGGTCTGAATACTGTGCCTTTAATAACCGACAGTAGCTGGTGACCATGTTATTCTTCCTTTTGTGAAAGGCGGAACCTGCTGACTTCTGCAGATCCCGCTGCTACGACACAGCCCTCTCTTGCTGGCAGCCATCACTTTATCCCAACAAGTCTTGCTTAAGAAGGAGAACACATTACCCTCATGAAGGCTTGGTGAGTTCTACAAGTAACGTTGTGGCCACTGTAAATCTTGAGGCTTCCAGAGGTTGTTTCAGATGTCCCATTAGATGCAAAGTAAAACCTAGCTGCCAGTTCTGCCCTCCTGCTGACATCCAGGCTTAGATTATAAAGCAGCACTGTAAAAATTAAGGAAGAGATGATCTACGCGCGAGGATTTGGAAAGTAATTTCAAACATGTCCCTCTATGTTGATTAAAATGGATGAATGAACTATACCAGATGCCTTCTCAAAATATCATACACAGTTTCATAATCATTCAAAGGCTGGAATCCTGTTGGCACAGCTCTTTGCACGTAAGGCTGATGACATCATCAGCCATTGCCTTTTATCTTTAATTAAAAAGTTGCTATTCTGCTCCCTACTCCTAAGTTCCGAGACTCCCTAAGGATCCCTTTTGATCTGAAGAAGCCTTTGATGGCCTCCGGATGCAGGAGAGCCTTTCATGTCCAAAAGCTGCCACAGCCATCAGCTTTATGCACACAGAGCTTCACCAGATGAGTACCCGCTTAAATGCTGTAGACCTCTGCATTCAGAGCTTGAGCACGCAATTCCTACAAATTCTTGGAAATAAAATTATATCCATACATGTTTTCACTAGCACTGCTACAGTCTCAGCACCTGAGCTTTGAAAGTTCCAGCAACTTTATCTCATCGAGTACAGCCAGCGTTTACAAAGCTACGGCCAATACCAACCAAGTGGTATTCACTTGGACAGCAAGCATAAAAATACATAGAACCCCATACACTGTTTCGAAAAGCCTGTTACGGGATTAATCGGTTTTCAATGCACTGTAGGTCAATGGAGACTTGACTTACAGACTTTTTGACTTGAGAACCGCCTTCCAATACGGATTAAGTTCTCAAGTCAAGACCCCACTGTACATAGAACCCCATACACTGTTTCGAAGTGATAAATTACATCTTAACAAGTGTGTTGCTCCCACACATAACCTAAACATTCTATCCCAATTGTAACAATTTTATATCATCCCCCCCCCCAAATACTGGTGAATTGGCTTCAATTTGGTATAACAGCTAGAAATAAATTCCACTTAAGGAACTAGCAGCAAGCCACTTTTCAAACAGACAAATCAATGCACATATTCAATCAGCAGAGAGCCGAGAAAGAATGCTGAAAGACGGATCAAGCAGCTTACCAATATACCCTGGAACAGTTTTGCCGCTATAGTTAAAACAAAGCATCAGATCCACACATACTGCCGGTTTTCCATGTAATAAACAATTCAACTGAGTTCGATTCACTGACTCGGGGTGTTTCAACAATGCTTCAACAACTACCACTGCTCTTGTCCTAGAAAATAAGAACAGATTACCACAGGACGCACTTTTATGATGTCACATTCCCTGCATGGTTCATGTTCATCCCATGGTTGTGAACAGAAAGAATATTTATTCATTATGTCTTGGATTCTAACAATCCGGCTACACGGCCCATGCAGTGTGTAGGTTGTCATTCCCCCCACCCCCCGGTTTTTGTCAAAATGTGATGTAAACTTGGAGGGCAAATCCAGACCAAGATCACTGAAAGTGGGTGACCTTCATCCTTCTATTTCCAGCTCCCACCAAAAATCCATTTCACAGGCCAGCCAACAATAGATGCCACTGGTGTGTATGTTTTACTGTTGTTAATAGCTGTTCTACGGAGTGGATTTCAGGAGGACAAGCAAAAAGGGACAACCGACTTCAGTAAGAGTAGAAGGTATCCTATCTACAACTATATTAATAGGTTCCAGGAGATAAGTGGGTAAACAAATAAGGTACACTTAATTTGTGACTATACATTTTCCACAGATTTATGCCAGTGGGATTATGTAATGGAAGTAGTATTTAAGAATTCTGGGCATATTTGTTACAGCGCAATTTCCTGAAATAACAATCAGATGACTACACCTTGTGCAAGCACACAAACACAATGCAAATGTGGAAGGGATACCGCTGGGCATGCAACGTAATCCTCTGCTGCTTTTACTCAATAAGGTAACTGGGAAGCATAAGGACTTGGGAGGCTGGTGTACATGCATTCCCATGTCTCTCTTGCAAACATTAGATTATGTGAACAAAGAAAATCAGAAGACTTACATCTCATTTTTGGCTATTTTGGTGCATCTTTGATTTTCTGACTTTTACAAAATATAGTGGTGCCTCGCTTAACGGGCGCTCTGTTTAACAACGAATCCGCATAGCAATTAAGTTTTTGCGATCGCACTGTGATGTTTCTAATGGGAAAAAATCGCTTTGCGACATTCGGTAGTTCCAAAATGGCCGCCGGGTTAAAAAAAATGGCCACCCGCTGTGTTTTTGCCCGGATTCCTTGCTTACCGGGTAGCGAAAATGGCGGCTTTATGGAGGATTTTCGCATAAATTTCGTTGAATTTTCACTGTGAATTTA